ACGGAATCTGAATCCTCGGAATCATCCTCTCTTCTCTCTGTGAAACTCCTCTAGTTGTCTCCTTATATTCCTCAGTGGAGCGCCTTTCAAAACTTTCATGTTCTTCTTCATGGAAATCTTCCTCAGGAACAGTCGGCAGTGTACGAATGCTTTCTCTGGAGGTGTCATGTCCGCGAAGAACTCTGTCCACTCTTCTGTTCGCATCTGCAATTTCGTCATCGACTAAAAATGTTTGGCGAGAAGACGCGCGACTGCCGCGGTGACTATCGTGAATGTGGTCTTGATAGTCTCTTTCAGTGGTTTTACCTCTGTCGACAACCTCTCTTTCGTAATAAATAGTTCGATCAAGGATAGGAGTTTCTCTGGATGTCTCTCTGGACACCTCCGCGCAACGAGAGCATGGTCTCTCAAATCTTCCTGACTCCGAGCCACGACCTATAGAACGTTCCTCCGCAGTGACATCACCAATTGGTATTGTGGAAATGTATGGGCCACGCTCTGTTGGCTGTGGGGTTGTGGAAACTCTGAACTGGTGGAAATCAATAATGCAAGGGTTATGGTTCAAGATATACCTTACCTGACTTCTTCGCGACTGCTCAGTCTTTCCAATGACTTTCTTTCTTCCTCCTCTCTCAAAGTAATAGCGTCAATCTCTCTTGCTGGCGCTATTATCTCTTCTTCAAGCACTTTTTCCTTCTCGGGAGTTGGTTGTGCTTCCTAAACTCTGTTTTTTCAGATTCATTTTTATTTGGATCCCCAGTAGCACACCTTTTCCACTTTCTGGAGGGTATAGTAAACCGGCTGCTTATCGCGCTCACAAATTTCCTAAATTTTCGTATTTTCCACTAACATTGCAGTCTGAAGCAAATTTTCGCTTACAGTTCCCGCGTCTACATATTCTTCCATTCTGTACAACGAATAGTCATCATACAGGGTTGCTGGAGGTTCATCCCCGAATCGGACTGGCTCCAGGAGAATCAGCTCGCGTCGGCCATCATGATGAGGTTGAACGGTTTCGTAGACCTCTTCACCTGCTCTGTAATAAGTGCCGAAAGCGGTTGGAACTCAGATTAACTTAAATACATTTGTTCTAGATCGAATGACATCTCATTATCTGTAATATATAAATGGGACCGACATTCAAACGTGTTGCTCAGGGCACTGAAGAAAAGGATTAACGCTGTAGCTCGAAATGGTTTTGGATAAATCAGTTCTAAAAAATGTCCAGTAATCGTCTCAAACTTTCGAAAACCTTTGTCATTTTCCAATTAACAATTTTATTTAAACCAGCTAAGTGGTAGATTAAAATATGTGGTGAGTGATAATGAGTTAGCAGTGAAAAAGGTAACTTTCTACATTATAATACACCCAATGCTACCATACTGCCATCGTACAAACGCAATTTTATTATGAAATTTGATTAAAAATTGTAAAGACCCCAAAGCTTGGACGCCAATGGCACTCGAAATAAATTTTTGAGAATAGAACCACAAGTTGCAATTAAGGAGGTATTCCTAAGATAGTAATCAAACTAGTTTAGTAAAATAAAATGGATTTATTTGTTTAATAATTTGTAAAAAAGAATGATGGAT